CACGAGTGCGCGGAGACAACTTGTTCGCGCCAGGGGCGCGAACGTGAGCCAGACAACCCCAGACGCGGAAGTCAGCTGCTACGCCCGGAGAACCTGTCCAAAGGGAGACCGGCGTCACCCTTGGCCGTGCGTCACTGGGCCACAGGTTCAGCTGGTGCGCGGCGTAGCGGACTGCCTGGGGCCACAAGAACTGGGGGGCACCGGCATGGCACATGGAGGTCCGGGCAACCTCCATGACCAGGCCGATGCGTCGCTCGGCTACCCCGTTCTGCTGCGGTGATGCTGGTAGCGTGTAAGACTGGATGATCCCCCGACCCTGACAGAACGTCTCCAGGCGAGTGGAAGAAAACTCACCACCACGGTCCGAGTGTAGGCGAAGCCCACACAGGCCCTGGGCGCCACCCCACGCTAGTAGCCACGGCTCGAGGACGGTAGGCACGTCGGCCTTCCGTCGCAAGGGGAAAACCGTGGTGTAGCGGGAGTAGTCGTCCACCACAATCAGGAAGTAGCGCTCCTGACGTGGGCCAAGGACCGGAGAGGGGCCCCAGACGTCCAAGTGCAGGGTCTCAAAGGGAGCCGTGGTGGGGGGGAACGAGGAGGAATGAGGGGCAGCGCGCTGCCGACCCTCGACGCAAGGAGTGCACAGCGGCGCAGGCGAGCGGGGAAGCGGTGCAAGCGACCCTGGGAGACCTGAGACCAGACGGTAACGTGCCATCCTACTGAGACGCGGGAACGACGGGTGACCTAGACGGTGGTGCCAGAGGACCGACGGGTGGGTGAGGGACCGACAGTCACACGACACAGCACCTACCTGACCTGACCTGACCTGACCCGACTCAGTGTGGTGGGACCCAGTGTGTAGTGAGTACAGACCAGATCCCGGCTCTCTGTGGAATGTGGCCAGGGGCGCCCCAGTGGCACCGACAGTGCAGGAGGCAACAGGCTCGTCCAGTGGGAAAGTAGTGACTACGCCTAGGTCGTGAAGGTGACTGACACCCACCAGGTTCCTAGAGAACGAGGGGGTGTAGTAACCTGTAAGAAAACCTGAGGGAGCCGCCGGACACGGAAGAGCGGTGGTGCTGCTAGCAACTACACGTTCCACAGAGGGGTCAGCCAAGGCGACAGTGACTGGAGTGCGCAGTGGTGTGAGGTCGGTACATTCGCGAAAGAAACAGCTGGACGCTCCAGAATCTAGGGTGAAGGAAAGCTGTGCAGTCTTTGGGGTCGCACCCGAACCAGCTACAAAGGCTAGTGCTAGACTAGTTGTAGCTGCAGATTCTACACAAAGACCCTCAGAGGCGCCGGGACTGGAAACACACGCACCAAGACTGGAAACACAGGTCTCTACTCGTGCAGCCGGAAAGGGTCCTAGACCAGGCAGGTGAGACTCAACTGGTGCAGTAGTGCGCTGGCGAAGGCGCGAAGGCCAGTGCGGTGTAATAGCGTGAGGACCAAAACGCTCACGGTGGAGGTCGTCGAGTCGACGGTAGCAGCTGGACGCAGTGTGGTCAGGACTCCAGCAGGTAGTGCCAGCACCAGGGCCTGTCAGGGCCCGGTACCCGCAGGGGCCGACGTCTCGCCCACTGCTAGCTGAGCCACTGCTGGGGGCGCCACACTTTGGACCCGCAGGCCCCCACTGACGGGAGTGCTGCGGCTGGCCCTGCTGCTGTAGAACCCTAGTACATGCCATGTGAGCCTATGCTGCTGCTGGTTCTGCTGGGGGCAGCCTAAGCTGCTGCTGGTGCGCTGGGGGCAGCCTGTGCTGCTTCTGGTTCTGCTGAGAGGCAGCCTAGGCTGCTACTGGTTCTCCAGGGGGCAGCCAATGCTGCTGCTAGTGCGCTGGCAGTTGCCTAAGCTGCTGCTGGTGCGCTGGCGGTAGCCTAAGCTGCTGCTGGTGCGCTGGGGGCAGCCTATGCTGCTGCTGGTTCGCTGGGGGCAGCCTATGCTGCTTCTGGCTCTGCTGGGGGCAGCCTTAGCTGCTACTGGTTTTGCTGGGGGCAGCCAATGCTGATGCTGGTGCGCTGGTGGCAGCCTATGCCGCTTCTGGTTCTGCTGGGGGCAGCCTACGCTGCTGCTGGTGCGCTGGGGGCAGCCTATGCTGCTGCTAGTGTGCTGGCGGCAGCCTATGCTGCTGCTGGTTCTGCTGGTTCTGCTGGTTCTGCTGGTTCTGCTGGTTCTGCTGGTTCTGCTGGTTCTGCTGGTTCTGTTGGTTCTGCTGGTTCTGCTGGGGGCAGCCTACGTTGCTGCTGGTGCGCTGGGGGCAGCCTATGCTGCTGCTGGTGTAGCTGGCGGCAGTGTAATCGGCTGGGGCTACTGACGGCGGGTGTGGTAGATCGTGGGGAGGCAGGTTTCAGGTGGGGAAGCTGTTAAGGCAGCGGGCTACGGGTGAGGCGGCGGTTCTGTGCAGTTCTGTGCGGTTATGTGCAGTACTGTGCGGTTCTGTGAGGTTCAATGCGGTGGAGAGGACTGGGTGGGGCAGCTGATTCCGGGTGAGGTGCCTGGAACGGGTGGGGCAGCAGGTTTCCAGGTGGGGCGGCGGTTGTCAGGTCTGGGGCGGTGGTTTTCAGGTGGGGAAGCTGTTAAGGCGGCGGTTCTGTGCGGTTCTGTGCAGTTATGTGCAGTTCTGTGCGGTTCAATGCGGTGGAGAGGACTGGGTGGGGCGGCTGATCCCGGGTGAGGTGCCTGGAACGGGTGGGGCAGCAGGTTTCCAGGTGGGGCGGCGGTTGTCAGGTCTGGGGCGGCGGTTTTCAGGTGGGGAAGCTGTTAAGGCGGCGGTTCTGTGCGGTTCTGAGGGGGATTTCAGGTCTGGGGGCCGGTTACGACGGTGGGCTGCACGTGCGCGCGGCTACGACGTACTAGCGCGGAGCTGCGGGTGCGACTAAGGCTGCGCGCGCAGCTACGTGCGTTCGTCTGCTGCGCGCTAGAGGACTGGGGGGCAACACGCGGGGTAAAACGAGTGGGGCGCGGGGCTAAAAACCGAGTGACGCTCGGCAAAAAAACGGGTGGGGCGCAGGGCAGAAACGGGTGACGCGCGATGTCGACGGGGGGCGCGACCTACTCGGGCTCTACGGGGCAGGGCGCTTCGGGCTATGGGTCGCTACGAGGCGCGCGGGTGGTGGGCTCATAGACTATCGAGAGAAATTTCGCCTAAGGGAAAAAATCGCCTAGGGGAAAAATCGCCTAAGGGAAACCTAGCTCTATACCATGTTACGATAAGAATGAATTGATAGAAAATGTGAAGTACAACCCTAGATATAGCAAACCCTAATCATGCAAGTAAGTAGAAATGTAACACCTAGACTAACCTAAACAACACATATAAAATATATGTTGACAAGCGCCCACGGGCTGCAGGGGCGAACGCGCGGGCTGCAGGGGAAGCACGCGGGCCACAGGGGCAGGCACGGCTGCAGGGGCAGCACGGTCGCAGGGGCGAGTACGGCTGCAGGGGCAGCACGGTCGCAGGGGCGAGCACGGCTGCAGGGGCAGCACGGTCGCAGGGGCGAGCACGGCTGCAGGGGCAGCGCGGTCGCAGGGGCAGCGCGCGGGCTGCAAGGGCAGCGCGGCTGCAGGGGCAGCGTAGGAATAAAATTTTTACGGTTAGGGCAGGGCGGAACGTTCGGTGGGCCCTAGGAACGATTATGCTCTAATACCATGTTAGAATAAGCAGGCAGGAATGATTGCATTGAGCAGCAGGATGAGTACAAGTATGAAACCCTAAAGGGTTGTACTCACTAGAGTATGCCCCACTAGAGCCTAAGATACTATTCTAACACCTAGGGCCAGGGCTTATTTTATCAGAGTAAATTACTCTGTTTCTCTGAAAATCAGGGTGGTTTTTGATAGGGTACTCTGTACTTGCTGGGTAATTTTTTTGGGAGTTACTTTTTCTCTGATTTGTCAGAGTAATCTTGTAAGGGACTCTGATGCCTCAGTGTAATTTTCAGGAGTTTACCATTTCCTCTGTACAGGGTACAGGCGCCCCGAGCGAACCCCCCTTGTTTGCCAGCGTCAGATGATGAGTCACGCGGAAGAAAAAGTCTACAATATCAAAAAAAGTAATGTTTAGTTAATGGATAGAGTTAGCACAATGGTATGAAAATATTGTTTGGAACGCGAAGGTGCATGGTCCGATACTTGGAGAGTGCACTCAGAGTAGAGAAAATAATTACACTGTCTGCACTGGGTTTTTTTTTCAGAAGTGAAGATTCCTCTGACAAATCAAAGTAACGCTAAGGATTAACCCTGATTTTCAGAGTTTCCAAAAAAACAACCCTGAAAATCCGAGTAGTGAAAAACGAAAAAAACCCCTGCCTAGGGCTTTATCCCAGCCTAACATGTATCAAGCCCTAGATTGGTGTAGCTTACCGTATATGCTTAGTCTGATGTAGCCCAAGAATTATTGCTGTTTTTCCTTCTACGGTATTGTCACAACTGTGTCTATGTATACCATATTATGATGAGCTGCCATTTAATTCATTTCATACATTTGTATTTTGCTTGACTCACATCAATATCGCTATTCCGCGTCCGCGCATTGAAGTCAACTAGGTTTCGATAACTAGCCAACTCGGCCGACCTCGAGCGATCCGACCGAACCAGCCCAGGCACTGAAGGAATCTCAGGGCGGGTCATACTCATCACAATTTGGGAAATCACACAAAATTCTCGAAAATGACCACAGTTCGGAAAACAAACACCAAATCGTGCGATTTCATGAGCAGTGTCCATTTGGGCTCGGAAAGGACACCCTTTCGCGGAAACGAAACGGACGCAGATGGCATATTACTATGCACGAAATGGCTGCTTTCGTGAAGGGTAACCAGGAAATGGTGAGACCGCAGAGGTTGGTTATATTTTGAGGGGAAGGGCGAGAGGGACCACGCGCATGCAACAGCTCACGTCGTTAATATTCGTACGTGTCAACTGGCGAGGGTGTAGCGGCTTCGGCAGTGGAACAATGCGAAATCATAACAATTTTTTAACGTGCAGTTACTGTGATGTCGCACGTTCCTGCGAGTTCCTGCGCGGCGAACTATCACGTCATGATACATTCGGTTCAACTTTTGATGCGGCTACCCTGCAAAAAATGGTTACAGCGGCCAAAATTGACCTGACTTGTGATAAGTATGACCCGCCCTCAATCCATCTCTAACAGGTAGGATCCCTAGTCTCCTAACGTCTCCTCCCTCGACTTACACAAAGGTAAGCGCTGAGAGTTAGGCGGCATCACGCGCGCGCTGCGGTGACGAGCTCACGCCTAACTCGCTGCTGCACCTTGGGCCTTGACGCGTGGGGCCTTGACGCCTGGGGCCTTGACGCGTTCGCCGGCACCAGGCGCGCTAGAGGCGTGGTGCCGCCGTCACGCTTTCTGGCGCCAGGCGCGCTGCGTCTCACTCGCTGCCGTTTCATTCGCTGCCGCCTCACTCGTTGCTGCCTCATTCCGTCACGCCCCCCACTTGCTCCATCCAGGCGTTCCGCAATCTCCTCTTTCACCGAACGGCAACGGCAACGACGCGCGCGAGTACCCGGTGAGTGCGGGAGGGAGGCACGGGTGAGGGCGGACGGTGGCGCCGCACGCATGGGGGAGATGGGCGAGATGAGGCAGGGATGTCAGAGCGATGAGGCAGGGATGTCAGAGCGATGAGGCAGGGATGTCAGAGCGATGAGGCAGGGATGTCAGAGCGATGAGGCAGGGATGTCAGAGCGATGAGGCAGGGATGTCAGAGCGATGAGGTAGGGATGTCAGAGCGATGAGGCAGGGATGTCAGAGCGATGAGGCAGGGATGTCAGAGCGATGAGGCAGGGATGTCAGAGCGATGAGGCAGGGATGTCAGAGCGATGAGGCAGGGATGTCAGAGCGATGAGGTAGGGATGTCAGAGCGATGAGGCAGGGATGTCAGAGCGATGAGGCAGGGATGTCAGAGCGATGAGGCAGGGATGTTAGAGCGATGAGGTAGGGATGTCAGAGCGATGAGGTAGGGATGTCAGAGCGATGAGGTAGGGATGTCAGAGCGATGAGGCAGGGATGTCAGAGTGAAGAGGTAGGCACGGGTGAGGGCGGGTGAGGGCGGATGAGGGCGATGAGGCAGGGATGAGGGCGGGAGGAGGTAAGGGATGAGGTGTAGAGGAGGCATGGAGGATGGAGGGATGGGGAACATGGTGTGGGGCTGGGCAGGTGTGGAGGAGACGGAATAAAGGAATGAGGCATTCAGAGCTGCTTCACACGACACGTGGAAGTGCGGACCGCCGGACGGGCAGAAAACGAGGGAGGGAGGGAGCGAGGGTAAAGGGAAGACAGAAGGGAGAAAAGGATAAACACAGAAAGAGGCAGGGGCCCAGGGGGTGCAAGAGGAAGTTGGGGATGCTCAACTGACCTCGTGTGCTCAACTGACCTCGTGTGCTCAGCTGACATCGTGTGCTCAGCTGACCTCGTGTGCTCAACTGACCTCGTGTGCTCAACTGACCTCGTGTGCTCAACTGACCTCGTGTGCTCAGCTGACCTCGTGTGCTCAACTGACCTCGTGTGCTCAGCTGACCTCGTGTGCTCAACTGACCTCGTGTGCTCAACTGACCCCGTGTGCTCAACTGACCTCGTGTGCTCAGCTGACCTCGTGTGCTCAACTGACCTCGTGTGCTCAACTGACCCCGTGTGCTCAACTGACCTCGTGTGCTCAACTGACCTCGTGTGCTCAACTGACCTCGTGTGCTCAACTGACCTCGTGTGCTCAGCTGACCTCGTGTGCTCAACTGACCTCGTGTGCTCAACTGACCTCGTGTGCTCAACTGACCCCGTGTGCTCAACTGACCTCGTGTGCTCAGCTGACCTCGTGTGCTCAACTGACCTCGTGTGCTCAACTGACCTCGTGTGCTCAACTGACCCCGTGTGCTCAACTGACCTCGTGTGCTCAACTGACCTCGTGTGCTCAACTGACCTCGTGTGCTCAGCTGACCTCGTGTGCTCAACTGACCTCGTGTGCTCAACTGACCCCGTGTGCTCAACTGACCTCGTGTGCTCAACTGACCTCGTGTGCTCAACTGACCTCGTGTGCTCAACTGACCTCGTGTGCTCAACTGACCTCGTGTGCTCAACTGACCTCGTGTGCTCAGCTGACCTCGTGTGCTCAACTGACCTCGTGTGCTCAACTGACCTCGTGTGCTCAACTGACCTCGTGTGCTCAACTGACCTCATGTGCTCAACTGACCTTCGTGCTATGTGGCCATCCTGTTCTCCATGTGCGGTGCACCTCTCCCTCCCCATGCCCTCTCCCCTGCAGCGCTTGACAGCAGCTGCAGGTGGTGCGCATGGCGATGGTGGGGGCAGGCAAGGCGGTGGAGGGGGCGGCCAACAGTGCGGCCGTGCAGCAGCTGGCGCAGTGCGCCGTGGACGAGCACAACAAGAAACAGGTGGGGGCGGGGTTGGGGGGAGGGGGGAAGGGGGGGGGGGGGAGGGGATAAGAGGGGGCAGGTGGATTGCCAGTTTACTCGCAACCAGTTTACTCGCAACCAGTTCACTCGCATATCCACCTATGTTGCACTGTCCTAGTGCTGCCGCCTGTCTTCCCACATCATCTGCCGTGCTCGTTACTACCGCCCTTCCTTCTGCCTAATCGTGTTGCTTTTCCACCTTCCCATCTCCTACCCCCCTCCCCCCCCTTCCCAACCCCCCCTTGCCCACGGGTGGCAGAACACGGCACTGAGGCTGGAGGCAGTGGTGGGGGCGAGTGAGCAGGTGGTGGCGGGCACGCTGCACCGCATCCGCCTCACCGTGCACCAGCCCTCCGCCACCGCGCCTGTCACGGCGCAGTACGAGGCAGTGGTGTGGGAGAAGCCGTGGGAGGGCTTCCGCGAGCTGCAGTCCTTTGACAAGATCGACGGCGCCTAGGCTGCTGCCCGCTGGGGGTGTTGCTCCAAGGCAGCACACATGCATGCCATGCAGTGTACTGCTGGTATAGAGAATGCTGGCAAGGTAGCAGCGCCTGCTCAGTGGCTCGATAGAAGTTGCAAGCATGTACAGGGGAGTGGAAGGAGCGTGCACCATTCCCTTAGCAATTGCTCTACGCTTGAATAGGAAAGCCGGGATCACTTTTGATAGCTCGGAATGTGCATACGTGCCTCATCACTACTTACACATGCGTGGTAGGGTGAATGATGAAATCAGTGAGTGTTGCAAATCTGCACTATAAAGTCTATGCCCGCTCTGTCAAAGTTGGAAACCGCGGAATGATTTGACTAGCAGAAATGAATGGTAGTAGCAAACCGACTCGTCAAAGGTGACGTCGCGGGAGAACAGGACGCGGCGCGTGGCTGGGTGGTAAAATTGCCAAGGCGGGGCGTCGGTAGGAAAGCCAAGGAAGTTGCAGCGAACAGTGCGAGGAGAGAGCTTGCCCGCGGGAGGATCGCGGACAAGGGAAAGCGAACCCTAGACCCGAAACGCCGATGCATCGCCAACCTCCCCCGTCCAAAGCAGGGTAGGCGAGGTCTCTGGCAGGGAGACATGGTGCCAGAGGTTGAGCTGATGCGCGGCGTATCGGACCGCAAACGGCCACAGATAATGGGGAGCAGCCGCATGGATCATGGAGGTGCGAGCAACCTTCATGATGAAGCCAATGCGGCGCTCTGCAATCCCATTCTGCGGTGGAGAGGCCGGAAGCATGACCGACTGGGTGATGCCCTCCTCACGACAAAAGTCCTCGAGGAGGCGGGAGGAAAACTCACCACCTCGATCAGAGTGCAGCCGCAGCACCGGGAGGTCCTGGTGGAACCGTGCGCTCAGCTGGAGACGAACAGCGCGGATCCAAGAGATCAAGACACTACGGACATCCGCCTTGCGCTGCAAGGGGAACACCGTGGTGTAGCGCGTGAAGTCGTCAACGACTAGCAGAAAGTAGCGCTCCCGGCCTGGTCCAAAGACGAGGGCGGGGCCCCACCCGTCCATGTGCAGTGTCTGCATAGGAGCAGTGGTCGGAGGAAACGAGGAGGAATGAGGAGCGGCGCGTTGCCGCCCCTCGACGCAGGGAGTGCACGGCGGCGCAAGCGACCGCGGGAGAGGGGGCAGGGACCTGGGAGTCCAGAGACAAGGAGACGCGAGTGCATGCTGTGGAGGCGCAACAGGGAGTGGTGAACAAGACGGTGGTGCCAGAGGAGGGACGGGTGCGTGAATAACCGGCACGAGCAAGACGCAGCTACCTGACCAGACGCAGCCACCTGTGCAGATTCAGTGTGCAGTGTGTACAGGCCTGACCCAGGCCTCCGGGTGAATGTGGCGAGGTGGTCGCCAGTCACTGTGTTCTTACAGATCGCCACGAGCTCGCCCCCAGGAGTGGTGGTGGTGACCATCATATCCTGGAGAACTGAGGTACTCACCAAGTTCTTAGCGAACGAGGGGAGGTGGAAACCTGTGAGGGATCCAGAGGGGGCTGCCGGACACGGGAGAACAGTGGAACTGCGTGCAACGACTGTGGTGCAGTCGCGGAAAAAGCACCTAGACGCGCCAGCGTCCAGTGTAAAAGTGTGCAAAGCCTCCGCAGGAACTGCACCTGTGCTAGCAATCTCACAAGCACCTACACTCGCCTCCTCAACACAAGCTAGCGACGACAGCTGTCACACATCTAAGTTAGCATGAATAGCATAGCAAAGAACTAAATATAAATGTGAGACCAATAGCTAGAATAGTATGGGAATAGACTGTAGAGAGGAAGGGAAGGCCACATGCCCAGTGATCAAGGAAGGGGAGGACGTGGCGAATCCAAGCAGAGGGAGCGGGAAAAGAAGTGAGACGCGGAGGGGGGAATATCCAACCCAACCGTTGAGTAACAACGGATCTAAACGTGATACTTAGGCAACAAGGGAGTCTGATGCACGTAGCTTGTTTGTTTGTTTTCACATTATACTGAGAATTAGTTGTACTAGTGCTTACAACCTACGTGACACTCAGTCAGAGGAGCCAACCACAACAAGCAATAAGCGCCAGCACTAAGCCTAGTGCCACGACAGTCAGCCGAGCAAGTAGAGCACAAACGTCCAGGTAGAGCGTGTCCTCATACTTTCAACAAACAAACAAGATAGCCCGCCATGGATAACTACATGCGATTGAGATTCGGTTACGTGCAGCCGAAAGAGCCGAGCACGGAACCGGCGAGCAGAGGCCGCGGAAACAGGACGTGCGACGGTGACGGAAAGACCGCCGGCATCGCGTCACAGCGCCTCACCGTGTCAGAATGAGTGAAGTGATTGAATTAGGAAAGTTGGGAGTACAAGTATGGAAACCCTAGAGAATGTACCCCCTAAGGCTAAACCCACTACAGCCTACAGAACACAAACATATACAATGTTTGACACACCCCCATAGGCAAAGTGGGAGACAACCAGATGGTCACAAGACCAGTCAGAGCAAAGCAAAGCAAAACAAGCTCAGGGTGGATCTCAAGGATACCACACAAATTCCGAGCACAAGCAAGTGGTCACAAGACCAGTTCACATGCAGTTTGATAATATAACACGAGGTACAGTGATCACAACCTAGCAAGTGTAAGCATGCAGGTATATATATGGAGATCACAGTACAAGCAGAGTCAAGAAGTGAGCAAGTGAGGGACAGTAGGAACAAGGCCTAGAACAGTACAGAAACGCTGATGATCACAAGGCGGAAGTGCCTTGGTGAACACATCAGCAGTGTTGGCCCGAGTGGCCACGTACGAAAGACGAAGCTGACCACACTGATGCAGCTCTCGAGCAAGGAAGTAGCGCAGAGCGATGTGCTTCGTTCTGTGCTCCAGTCTGTGCTCCTGACACAAGGCAAGGGCGGCCTTGTTGTCGACGTACAGCACTGGAGGAGAACGAGGCCGCTCTCCGAGGTCGGTCAGCAGGTAGGTGAGCCAGCGTAACTCCTGTGCAGCCATGGCTGTGGCGTAGATCTCAGCCTCACAACTGGAGCTGAGAACTGAAGACGAGCGAGTAGAACGCCAAGAAACTGAACCACAGCCAAGACTGAAGGTGTAACCCTGAGACGACCGCTGAGTAGCCTGGTCGTCAGCCCAAGAAGCGTCTGAGTGCCCAGTGAGGACAACGTCTCTCCGTCCTCCAAGCACAAGCCCCATGCCCGACGTACTGCACATGTAGCGCAACACCCTCTTAGCGGCATCCATGTGCTCCTTCCGGTGACGGCCAGGAGCGACATAGCGTGCTAGGATGCTAAGAGGGTAGGCTAGGTCAGGTCGAATGCAGGTCATCAGGTACATGAGGCAGCCCACAAGCTCTGGATACGGGCCACTCGGCTCTACGGACTCATCCGAAGGCAGAGCTGAGAGCGAGTGACCGGTAGGCAGAGGAGTGGGCTGAGGCGAGGAGTACGTGAAGCGGAAGCGCTGAAGGACCTGCTGCACCATGTGTGACTGAGTCAAGGTGATGGTGCGCTGTGCTCTGTCCCGGGTGATCCGCAAGCCAAGATAGCTTGTCAGCTCACCCAGGTCTGTGCACGTGTGTCTCTTCTGCAGCTCCGAATTCACGTGGGCGAGTGCCTAAGTGTCAGCAGTAGCAAAGACCAAGTCGTCTACGTACACGAGAACGTAGAACGGCGGCAGAGTGGTGTCGGTGCGTAGAAACAGCGACGGGTCAGCAGTAGAAGGAGCAAACCCAAGAGCAGCAAGAGTAGTCCTCAGTGTGTCGTGCCACTCACGGGGCGCCTGGCGGAGACCGTAGACCGGCCGCCGGAGGCTCCACTGGGTACCAGGAGGGAACGACCCAGTGAAGCCAGGTGGGCGGCGCAGCCAGATCTCCTCGTGCAGGGTGCCCTGTAGGAACGCAGTGCTGAAGTCAAGGCAGTGGAGCTCGTAGTCACGCTGAGCGGCGACGTGCAGCAGAACCCGAAGAGTGGTCATCTTCGGGGTCGGGGAGAAGGTCTGGAAGAAGTCAACTCCCTCTCGCTGACTAAAGCCTCGTGCAACGTAACGCGCCTTGAAGGCAGGCGGAGAACCCGGCGTCCGCTTCACCCTGAAAATCCACATGCCACTGACGATGTTCGCCCCAGGTGGGGGAACCTCGTCGACGTAGGTGCCTGTGGACTTCCAGGAAGCCATCTCTGCGTCCATGGCTGTCTGCCACTGAGAGGAGTACTCACCCTCCATCGCCTCTGCGTAGGAGCGTGGGGTCGGGATGTCTGGTGCATTCGGGTCTCCCTCAGGGGCAATCAGCATGGACACGAGATGAGGTAAAGCAGCAGCAAAGCACTCAAACTCCTCCTGTCTGTCCTCAAGGACGTCCGTGCCAAGAGCACACTCACCCCCGCCGGACGGAGGACAGACAGACTCAGACTCAGCAACAAGGCTAGCGGCGTAGTCTAGACGACAGGCAGCAGCAAAGTCAACAAGCTCAGCAACTAGAGTAGACGCAGCAGAGGACTCAAAGGTAGGGTCAGTGACAACAGTGGCAAGGAGACGCGCGACAGTAGGACTGGCAGCACGAGTAAGGTCTGACGGCGGGTCGGCAACGTCAGGAAGAGAGGACGCAGGAGGAGACGGCAGAGGGACGCGCTGTGGAGCAGTGGAAGGACGCAGGGTCATATAGTGAGTGCCAAGGACAGGAGGAGGACGCTGACGCGGAGCACGACGACCAGTGCGGACAGTGCGGACAGGCGACCCTGGACGTGACTCAGACGACTCTGGACGAGACTCAGGCGACGGAGGACGAGACTCAGGCTCACGACGCTCCGTAAGACTACTCGTCGGTGCAGTGTAAGGAGAAGGACCAGGCAGCGGAGAGGCAAGCGGTAACTGTGACTGCGACTGGACAGGTGGTGGACTCGGTAGGGGAGGAGGAGGACCAGGAGAGGGCGGGAGGCCAAGAACCTGCTGTAGGAGCGGAACGTAGTACGGCCGCGGCCGCGCA